GCTCTGAGTAACATCCAGTTTCAGTTGTGTAAGTTGATATTTTAAGGATTGTTTTGGAAATTTATACTTGTGTAGTGTTTTGCTGTATTGTTCCTTGCCTTTGTTTTGGATTTTAAAACGGATTGTATGCTGTTTATTGAGAGGGATTTCAGTGGTTGGTATCAGTCACCAGCTCTGTTAAGTTGGTGGGTCTGATATGAGGTAGTTGAAGGGTTGAGATAACATACAGGGGCAGCTGCTGCCTGAACAAGTTTCCTGATCACTACCCTGGCCTATAAGGATTTAATTGAAGACGTCATTAAATGTCTGAAAAACTGACACTGATATTTTTGGAATGAAGATGTTGGCAACTGATATTTTATATTCGAATTCTTGCATTTGTATGCCACAAAGTTGGAAGAAAAGAAACAAGCTCCAAGTTTTTTAAAGATAGAAAAGTCCTTAAAACCATAAAACTCAAAAACTACATAGTTGAATTACTGTTCCACACTAATCCATTTTTGTCATGTGGAGTATGGAGTCTTAAGGCAGGGCGCGGATGCTTTCAGTATAATCCTTCACACTGGAAGGATACATTCAGCTCTTCGCTGTCAATGTTGTGATTATTATTTATTGTGTAATACATTATGTTGTGCTGTTGACACTGTACTACCCAACATTAAAGTACAGTTGAGTGATGATTTTGCTGGTGGCATATCTAAAGTAATAATAAAACATATATTTTCACTAGCTGTAGTCAGTGAGGAACTTCTTGGTTATCCAGCATGATGTGTGGTGGGTATATATATGTACTATATATATAGTATAATATTTTGTAGGGTAGGGTTTTGTGTGTCAACAACTTATTCTCTACGGGTTCTGAACAAACTCGCTATCAGTTCTGATCACGTAGAGCATCATGCTGCTGCCTGTACTGGGGTATTTCTCTATTTGGATCTATTAAAAGTCAGTGGCCTTTAGGATTTGGACTAATTATCCTCAAGTCTTACTGTCTTCATGTCCTTTCCCGAGTGGGTCTCTCAATGTTTATGAAAATTAATTTGTAGAAGTCAGAGTTTGGTAGGCATTCTAGGGGTTGTTTAAGATTTGGTCCAGAATGTTTTAAAGTTGCCATCTCAAAATTATCACTACAATTATACTTTGAAAAGGATGGAGATAGAGAAATAAACACAAGATGAGGGAAGACCGTTTGGATTTGGTGTAAAAAGTCATTTGTATTCCGTATACTCTGCTGTTCTTCAGAGCTTATCATTTTGTTCCTGCTGTTACACAGACTCACTTGTGCTGGGAATGAATGCTCAACACATCCGCTCTGTCTCTGCTGTGTGTCTGTAGAGTGAGAGAGATTATTAAATTACAGTGTACTGTACACTTCACTGTAGGTGTTTTGAGACTGATCACAGCAATGCAAAGCGTCGTCCTATTGTAGACCCCCTTGTCTCAAACACACAGCATTCTACACGCAGATTAACAGATAATGATGAGGCGTTCATGGTTCTCATTATTTTGGGGCTAAACTAATCAACAGGTTAAAAACTGAAGATTGCAAAAAGCCAAACACTCACACATTAATGCATGCCCCTGTGGTGTTCTGTATGCGTGTTGTCATGCAGAACCAGTGTGTGTGATATTGTTTTCTCAGTGTGAGAGGTAATTACTCAGTATGACTAATACACAGTCATTTACCAGCATTATCACTTCCGTCCCTAATGGTCTTACCAAGACCTTCCTATTCATGTTAGGAGAGGAGCAAATACTTTCATGATTAAGTCTGTGGGTGTGTTCCTTATTCAACACACACACACACACACATACACATTTCCATGCGTGTTTGATAACATTATACAATACAAAAGAGAATATTATATCATACTGTATGTTAGGGGTGTAAGAAAATGTTAACAAAAAACCCTGTTGATTTTTGTGTTTAAACCCCCAACCGTTAGATAGCAGTGTTATAAATGTGAACTGAGGGCTATGATGTGGGTGTACAAATGCACACCCTACTGTTCTGGTTGCATAAAAACTTTTTTTATGCACATGGTGCATGGTGTGTTCTGCATACTATTTTCCTAAAATTAAATCACATTATACTGCTTGCTTACGGTATATCGAATCATAACCCCCGCGAAAGCTCATTCAGTAGCTCTTTGCAAAAAATAGCACATACTGTGCTAAGGTAACAGTGCAGCAAAAACAGATGCATCAGTATTCATACAGAATTGTTCAAGGATCATTATAATTTTTCCACACAGTTTTATATTCACTAAACCTCATATTTTTCAAGATTTGAATGCTCCAAAATTGTAGAGTGCTGCCAAAATCCTCTGCATAATAATGAAGCATTCACCAGTCGGCCTCATCAAAGGTAAAATAAAAGATATAGGGCTGTTTTTTTAAATACACATACTTAGGGGTTCTGTGTACACAAGGGATAAGCAGCAGCATCTGTCCCAAACTGAACTGAAAAGCAGTTGATTGATTCATATTTGAAATGAACTAAAAAACCAGTAGTCGCCTATAAATCTAAAAACGTATGTAAGCCTTGGAAAAGTATTTTTTTTATATTTTATAACAGGCTACATCATGCAAGAACATCTATATGTTTTTAATCTTTGCCATTTTTGCTTTGTTTGGCAATCCAACAGAATCAAATACAAAAGATGAGGAAACCTTTAGCAAAACATTGTAAGGATTTAGTTAGTTTTAGTTTAACATTTTAGAAGAGATTTATAGATTTAGATATCACAGCAAATCAGAAAAAAAAACTAAACGTCTATCCAACATCCACTTGGACCTTTTGAGATGCTTTGTTTTGACCAGGTTCTGATCAATAGCTTGTGTTTTTTAACTTGGGAAAACATAAGAAATACATTCCTTCATTTATTAATTCTCTCCTATATTTAATATTTTCCAGCAGTGATTTATTAAAATAAATAAAAAGCTATTATTTGGACACACGTGCTGTATCGACAGTGTCTATGTTGGTGTATATGTACATAGTCTCACTCATTTCCTCTCTGTCCAGGATGAGGTACTGACTGTAATCAGGCGAGTGGACGAGAACTGGGCAGAAGGCATGCTGGGAGACAAGATTGGCATCTTCCCCATTCTCTATGTGGAGGTAAACCCACAGACATCACAAACACAGTGACATTCACATATCAAGTTATTACAGAAAGAGCTGTAAAAGCAACCGTAATGTTGTAGCAGAAACACCGGCATTACAGTTTTTTCATTTATCAGAGAAGAGGCAGAAAGCATTTTCTGTCTCTAGGCGACAGTATATCCTGTCTGCTTTGACAAGAAATTACATGAATCTTTTGTTTATATGGGTGGAAACATTCCCACTATGATAATCTTGGGATATCAGTGCTGTTTGGCTTCCTCATCATTCACATAAGTGAGTGCTGGCTTATTCAGATTTTATGAGAGAAGAGCACATGAATCAGTGGAATAATCACCAGTGAAAAAGTAATATCCTAAATACAGTATGGTCAAATAATCAATTAGTGCTCCCTGGTTTCAAATATATTTGAACTAAATGGTATTCTGAGCCAGTGTTTCATATTATGTTGTTACCAACCATGCCGCTCCTGTTATAATCAATAACTTTTGTCTTCATAAACAGGTCTTGTCTAAATTCATTGGTGGTGGTAACTTCTGATATATTATCTATTCTTTGCCACCTGTGCTGAAGAAAGGGATGCCTTGGGGTCAGAATGTAACAGAGGAGATATAAATATATAGATATATATATAGATATCAACTGTGTGTTCAAGTCCTTACTGTATGCAAACAACCAGTCAATGAATCTCCAATGAAACAATGTCAATGAAACTGAAGTTCAGTGATTCTTGTAGGTTATCATAGCCCATCATACATTTTAGGTGGTCCATCAGTGTCCCCCTCAACTCTTGTTGATGTTGATTGGCTCTTTTACTGTGAATTACTATTCTTTTGTCTTTGACATTGTAATTGCAGTCAAATAGCAGGTGCATTGTGTGTTCATTATTCTCTGTGAAAAAGGTGCTGGTGTGTTAAACTGCCCTGAGGCTTCTATGTTTTACTACTTATCTGAAAGAAAACACAACCAAAACATTAAAAATGCTCCAGAAATTCAAATTATATTAGCACGGCTGTTTGAAACTAGGCTGATGTGGAGTTTCCTTTCATGGATTTCCTTTTAGTAAAAGGATAAAACCCCCAACACCCCAAACATTCTACCTTCTTTCATAGTGCTATGCCTGTCAAGAGTGAAATATAGTTTACTTTAATCCTTGTGCAACTGAAAAAAAATATCATGCACAATTTGCTGTGGATCACATTTAAGGCTTTTAAGCCATGGTAAAAAGGTTTAGTATTGGTAGAAACTGGAAGGATGTGTCTTTCCTTCTTTCTTGCTGTTGTTAAAGCTTCTCTTCTGTCTCCATTACCACAAATTTGTGAACACACCAATTCTCTTATGGCCCTGTTGAAAACAAATGAAGAAACCTTCAAAACTGACAGGAGGTTCACTCAAACTGGGAAGTACTGTTATGTATGTGTTTGTCAAGATAATAAGACTCTCATAAGGTTAGATGCAGTGTTCCTAGTGAGAATGCCATTTTCTGTAACTTCTGCTCAGTGCAGTACATGTTTTTAACTTAGGATCACATTCCTTTTGCACACCACTTGTATGCATGCGTGTGCTTACAAGCGCGTCCTTTTTCGCTTTAATGTTAGTACTTGTGTTTGACATTTGTTTTTGCACTATTGGTTTTTTTATGGATCCTGTGTGCTGACATTTTAATTTCCCCACAAGGATAAATCACATGCATTTATCTGTCTAGAGACATTTCTACAAATATACAAAATGTCAACCTCATAGAGGAAATCTCCATTCATCCTCTAAAGCAGTCGCTCCTTTTTCCTTCAGGGACCCCTTTTCTATTATTTATTAAACTCAGTGACATATTATATATATATATTTATATGATTATTTCATATTATATTAAAACTGTAAAATGAACCCAAACAATGAACTCAGTAACTGCACGAAGTTTGTGTAAAATTTTATTATTTCCTGTTTATGGAGCTTTTTATACAATATTTGTCTGTATTGTAAATTTTTTAACATTTTTAGAAATCATAACGACCTAATAGGCTTCTTTTTTTGACACATTC